AGTTCTGAGCAAGGGTCACCGGACCCAAAACGTTAACTCTGTTTTCTCCTCCACAGATGCTGCCAGACCTGCTGAGCTTTTCCAGCAACTTTGTTTTTGTTCCTGCATATAAATAAGGTGAGGATCGAGTCATAATGAGATTTAACACATGCAAATAGAATCATCGATAACACAGTGTGAAGAAGGGTCCCGACCCAAAATGTCAGCTTTCCTGCTCCTCCGATGCTGACTGGCCTGCTGTGTTCCTCCAGCTCCACACTGTTATTTCAAACTCCAGCAACGGCAGTTCTTACTATCTCCAAATAGAATTATTGTTGTTTACCAGCAAGATTCCCACCTAGTTTATTCCCAACATTCAAATGTTTATTTTCCCTCAAAGTCAGGAATCTCTTTTGTTATTTGCACCACACTATTCCAAACCTCCTCAATTCCGCCCAACGAATTGGTGTACTACTGAAGCTTCACTCCTGCAGACATGGTTGCAAAAATCAGAGTGCAGAAGAGGCCAAAGCTACACTAAATCTACACTAGCCCCACAGCCTCGAATGTTATGACATTTTAAATGATTATCCAAGTACGTTTTAAAGGTTCTGAGGTTACCTGCATTGACTACCCTCCCAGGCAATGTATTTCAGACCTCCACCACTCTCTGGGTGAAAAATGTTTTCCTCAAATCTCTTCTAAACCTCCCAACTTTCATATTAAAATTATTGACCCTTCAACTGAGGGGAATAGCTGCTTTCTATTCATCCTGAACATGCCCATCATAACGTTATACAACTTTATCAGGTTCCCTCCTCAACTTTCTCTGGTCTATAGAAAACAACCCAAGCTTATTCAACTTCTCTTCATAGCAAAAGCGCTCCATCCCAGGGAATACCCCAGTGAATCTTCTCTGCACCCCTTCCAGTGCAATCACACCTTTCCTACAGCTTGGAGACCAGAACACACTTGTCTTGTTATTTATCAGGGTTAAATTCCATCCACCACTGATCTGCCTGCGTGATTCAATGTCTACATCTTCCTGTAACCTAAGACTGTACACCATACAATCATAGTAGAGTAAAAATGAGCAATCCTTACCATGTACCTCCACGACACAACGCAAGTAATTATTGGAGTGTAAGTCTTTTTTGTGTTTTATGAATACATCATAAACTCCAGCGTCAGATAGATCTACTTTCAAAAACTCAATAGAGGTGTTCTCTTTGTTGTAATTCACTCGATTTTCAAAAAACGTAGATATTTTAATGAAGTTAAATGGAACATCGTGGTGCACAAAACGAAGGCTCCCATCGCGATAAGTATACCACCAACCGACTGAAGTTAGGTCTGAAATAGATCCATCTCTGTATCCATATAATATGACAGAGGAATACCTTGTAGCAACATAACGCTCTAGCGCAAAGCTGTATGTAAAAATCTGCAAATAAACTACAGAAAAAATTGTGCATCTTCAGTGAATTATAATCAAATATTCTATTACAATGATTTATTTAATGCATCTATTATGGTGGAGTACTCGAAGATGTGACCAGAAAGAATGTTTAAATTTATCCTCCAAGATAACCATAATGAAATTAATCTGGGCAGGTGAATGCAAAACATATGGTAAGAACCAGTTACACAGTGGCAACCATCCTATATTTTAAATCAAGAAAAACATTTTCACCAATCATGCTATGCACGTACCAGAGTTCTGGCAGCCACATCACATACATACTTGAAAGTGGACCACCACAACATATCCTTCTCCTTACGCCCAATAAGCATCTGCTGCACCTCCTTTTAAGTACAGGCAGTTATCCGACATATATAAACGAGAATCAGAGGTTACACAAAATAATCACTGGAATAGAAAAAAATTCATATTATATACCCGCCCACAAATGAGTGGTCGTATAGTATACCCATTTGAAAATGGACAATCATATATCATATCTACTCAAGAATGGCAAATGGAAATTGCATACAAACCTACCCGAGAATGGGAAGTCATACAATATATCCAGGCAGGAATGTTTGATCACACACCTTAACCTACTCAAAAATGGTAGTCACCTGGCACAAAGGAAAATGACTGTGGTTGTTGGGAGGTCAATCCTTTGTAATTAGGTCATCATAAATGACCCCTCACCATTCTGTGATCTCAGCTCCAAGAGGGGTTCCTGAGGGTAGCTCAAGCATCTCCAGCTGCTTCATCAATGACCTTCCCTTCACCATACTGTCAGATGTGGGGGTGTTTGGTGATGACTGTACAATTTTCAGCACCATTTATGAATTCTCAGATATTGAAGCAGTCTAATGTCCAAATGCAGTAAGACCTGTACAATGTGCAGGTTTGGGCTGACAAGTAGCAAGTACTATTTGCACCACACAAGTGCCAAGTAATGACCACTTACGTCAAGGGGCAATGGTTAGAAATTCTAACCACTGTCTCTTGCCATATAATGGCATTACCGTCACTGAATCACCAACTATCAACATCTGGGAATTACCACGGACCAGCCACTTTCCAAATGCACAACCACAACCATCCAAAGAGCAGCAGATACATGGAAATGTCACCATCTGAAAGTTGCTCTCCAAACCATTTGCTATCCTGCATTGGAAAAACATCACCAATCCTTTATTGTCACTGGTTAACAAAGAAGAAATGAAGGGTAGGCATAAAATGGTCAATTTTGGATTAGCAACATGTAATGAGTGAAATGCCACAAGGATTAGTGCCGAAGCCTCAAAAATTTACGATCTACATGAACATAGAATCATATAACACGGCAATGGACCCTTTGGCCTAACTCATCCATGCCAACCAGGTTTCCTAAACTGAACCTGCATTTGGTCCATATCCCTCTAAACCCTTCCTATCTAATTGGCTTTTAAATATTGTAATTATACCTGCCTCTACTACTTGTTCTAGCAGTCCGTTCCATATACACACCACGCTGTGTGAAAATGTTACGTCAGGTCCCTTTTAAATCTTTCCCCTCTCAGCATAAACCCATGCTTTCTAGTTTTAGGCTCCCCTACCCTGGAGAAAGAACAAGTTAGACGACAGGAACAATTAGGTATTTGCTAAATTTGCTGATGTCACAAATGTAGGTGGGAAAGCAAGTTGTGAAGAGGTTATTAGGTGTCTGTAAAGGAATAACAACAGGTTACACAAATGGGCAAAAAAATGGCAGCCGAGATATAACATGGGAAAGTATGAACTTGTCTACTCTGAAGAATACGTAAATGTACAGAAACTGCAGAACTCAGACGGATCTGGGAATCCTGGTACATGAATCACAAAATAGTACTGAGGTAGTACAGAAAGTGACTAAGTTGGCAAATGCAATATTGCTGTTTACTGTAAGACGAATGGTGTACAAGAATAGGGATTTTTTTTGCATGGCGAGGCCGTACCTGAAATAGTGCAGTTTTGATCTCCTCATTTAAGAAACCATATAAATGCATCAGGGTTCTTGATACAGGAGGCTCAAGTTCAAGACCCACCTGTTCCATAGGCATGTCATAACATCCCTGAACAGGTTAAAGAGAATCAAAATTAGAGATGCATTAGAAACAGTTTAATAAAGAACACTCAATGAACACCTGGATTGGGAAAATTAACATAAGGAAAGTTTTGATAGACTAGACATGAACCTATTAGGATTTAGAATGAAAGATGATTTAATTAGTTCATGAGATGTGGGTATTGCTGGCTAGGCCAGAATTTGATCCCCATCCCTAATTGCCCAGAGGGTATTTAAGAGTCAACCACATCACTGTGGGTCTGGAGTCAAATAGGACAGTCTAGGTAAGGATAGTAGATTTTCTTCCCTAAAGGACAGGAGTAAACCAGGTAGGTTTTTACGACAACTGACAATGGCTACATGGCAGGATTCAAACCCACGTCCCCAGAACGCTGGCTTGGGTTTCTAGATTGCTAGTCCAGTGGCATTATCTCTACACCATCACCTTCCCGTAATTTATTGAAATGCAAGAGATCCTCATTGAACTTGTTAGATGGATGCTCAAAGGGGTTCCTGTTTGTGCAGGAGACTAGAACCAGGGGACACAGTTCAAATACAAGGGATCCATCCTGAGGAAGGGTCACTGGACCCAAAACATTAACTCTGATTTCTCTCTACAGATGCTGCCAGAACTGCAGCGTTTTTCCAGCAATTTGTTTTTGTTTCACATTTATAAGTACCTAACCACCTCCACCCTATGATGGTATCTTTAATATCAGATTCTGATCCCAACTTACTACGTGCCATTCCCAAAGCAACTCGCCACTCAATGGATATCCAAAGCACCAGCAACTCTGGAATCCATCACATGTCTGAAAGGCCCTGCAGACCTCGACAAGCAATCTAGCGTTGCCCCTCATCAGCAGTGTCATGCAACAGCTGTCCCAAAACCAGAATGCCCATGTCACATGGGGGTGGGTGGGTGTGTGAAGCAGCAACAGAAAGCAAGAAAAAGAGAGAGCACAAGATGGGGGTGAGAGTGTGTAGGGAAAGCAAGGAAGAGCAAGGAGCAGGGCAAGGGAGCAGGGGTGGGGGGGAACAAGACAGAAGGTGCAAGAGAGAGTGGCAGGTGGAGGTAGAGGGGAGGGCTAGAGAGCGAGACACAGAGGGACAGAAAGAAAGAAAGTACGTGAAATATGTTGGGAGCAAGAGTGTTCAAGGGGCCGTCAAGGGCAGCAAGAAGAAAACATCTCTCTCAAAAAGGTGATGATATTTTGCATCTCTTACTCAAAGGCAGTGGAAGCAAAGACTTTGAATGTAAGGCCGTGATAGATGGATTCTTGATAAACAAGGGAATGAACGACAGTTGGGAGAATAGGTCAGAATGTGGAGTAATTAAATCAGCCATGATCTTATAAAATTGGTGGAGCATATTCAAGGGGCCAAGTAGCCTACGTCTGCTCCTAATTCACACATTCGTTCTCTCATATTCCTTCTCGTCACCTCTCACATGCTACCTATAGGTGTTTTCCCTACACGTTCTCCTATCCATTGCTTACTACCCACTCTACTTCTACTTTCCTCTCACCTGCTACCTGTCCCTTTCACAATCTCTCATACACTCCTCTCAACCTCTCAAACATTTGGCAATCTTTGTCCTAAAAACTTACAAAAAGTAAGATTTCTTACTCCCTTAAAATGCCCAGGGTATCAATTGTTTTGTAAGTATATTTGAAAATAACTTCAAGACTTTCCATCAATTGTAAAGGAATTGATTGTTGTTTTCTTGGATGAGAAGAAATGCTGGTCCAGTTGACTTGGTGACCCTTAATTTGGAAGCAGTGTTCACAGGATGAAAGTTAAAACTCAAATTCATGCAGCTGACAGACCAAACACAAAGAAGTAGTTCAGGGATGTACAGAAAATGCACATTTACAAGGAACCACATCATTGAGGAAGAGTTCAAAAGGCTTTAAAAAAAAAACAAAGACAGGATTAAAAGAAACATTGTGAACTACAGAATTGTGCTATTCTTCCATCTTGTCAGAGCCAACCAGATTAATGAGAAAAAATTACTAAAGGAGTCTGACTAAAAACAAATCTCTAAGGGGGATCTATACTATCAAGATTTTCACAAACCTAGCCAAGGAGGTTCTGCCTTTGGGTTACAACGGTCTTCCAGGGCATCAGATGGAGCAAAAGTACTGCTAAGAAGTGACTTGAGGACCAAATTCAGTGAAATGACCACTTCATGACATTTACTGTGTCTACAACTCCACGTGTAATAGCTGTAATAAACATTTGTCTAATATTTCATGTTTAAGTAGATTCTGATTCCTGTTAAAGTAAAAATTCAAGTTTAACACTGTTTCTTCATTTGGAAATTTGAGCATTTTGGTTCATTTCCCGCAGGGTTCAACTCTTCCTTTCCTACTTGCCTTCACTCTTAACTTACCATACAGTCCTTTCGCCACATTAAGGCTCTCCTTCATCTCTCCTACACTCTTCCACATCTCAAGTTCCCTATTAATATGGACTCTCCCTTTTCTTCCACTATTTTTTCACACTAAGTATCGTACACACTTTTTCACTTCCCTTCCGCATTCCCCTATTACACTCACTCATCCATTTCCGCGCCATCAGCCACATCGTTCTCCCGCCAACGCTCCAATTGTCCACCAGCATCGAAGAGCGCGCGCGCGCGCCCGTGTCTCGCCGCCGCCAGTACCGCCCCGCGCGCACGTGTCTCGCCGCCGCCAGAACCGCCCCGCGCGCACGTGTGTTGCCGCCGCCAGAGCCGCCCCGCGCGCACGTGTCTTTCTGCCCCCTCGTTCCGCGTGTTGGGGGCACCCAGTGTCCAGACCGCTGTTCGGGCCACCATTGGTGGCTTGGCTTGGCTTGGGTGATGGTGGGGCTCACAGTTCGTTTCTTTGGTGTGGGTTTGGTTTGGGGTGGGGGCTGCCGCATGGAAGTTTGTAATGGAATTTGAGGTTTAATTAGTATCCTGACGGTTCACAATCGTTTAACTGCAATTAAAGTCCATTTACTTGCAAAAAGAAGTAATTACTATCAGGTACAGAAATCTGGTCGATGCTTTCTGTCATCCTTAAATTGGGAAGTTCTGCATACCTTTACAAATGTTTAACTTCTCTGATGATTGGGAACGTGATTTCCAGCTTGCTTACACCAGTGAGGCTAAGAATTAAAAATTGAAATGGCTGTGAAGGATTTTTTGTTTTGGTGGAAGATGTGATATGCAAGGTTCTTGCATTTGGATTTAAAATAGTCAGATTAATTTTATTTAGTTCTTTGAAGGTTTTTTTAAAAAAAAAACAACAGAAAGTCAATTTGAAAGTCAATCAGTGACCTAAGTACATACATTCCAAAAAAGCAAATGACTGCAGAAACATGTCTGGGAGAACCCTTGTAATGTTAATAGATAATATGTTTATAATGTTGGGTTTTTGACAAGCAGAGTAAACACATTAAGGTGATTAGTTTTAACATCAGAACAGAAGGTTTAAAGTTTTAGTTCAGCAGAATGCAGAGTTCAGTTGAAAAGGTAGGACAGTTCCTCCTAGTAGGAGAATGAAGTCAGTTCAGGGTGAACTCGTCACCTCATAGCAAGTGGTTTCTTGCCTATGAACCTTCCAAGCAAGGAAAATTTGGACTGAAGTCTTCAAGTTGTTAAAGTTGAAACCATTCATCCAATCAGATTGAGAGAATTTCATGCCACGGACTCAGAAAGGAATAGTAAAAATAATGAGCTCAGTTGTCTAAAATAAATTAATTGTAAAGCATCAGTTAAGTAATGATTTAAAACTTGGAATGGGTGTGTTATTTCTCTGATATTGAGTCTCTGTAATAGATGGTGTTGGGAAACAGTTCAAAATTGTGTTCTGATGTTTGTGTTAAGATCTTTCTAACTGTCTTCTACATGCAGGGGTGCTAATGATACTGCACAGCTTGGTGACTTTAACAGTTTCCATCAGGAATCTGGATGTACCACCCAGTTTGCTGTCAGCCCCTCAAAACCATCCATCCGCATTGATGATGCAGTTGACGTCTCCGGCCAGAATGACTGGCCTGGATGTCGCATACACATTCTTTAGTCTCGGGGAAGCATTTCTGTACATAATGTGTGCTACATTGAGGTGCCCGCTCACTAACACCTTCACTTCGGAGATGGTGAAGTTGCTTCCTCGTAGAAGAATACTCAGGCTGGAGGAACAGCAATCGTATTCCCCGACCATGTCAAAGGCTCATGGCCCATCAGCTCAACCATCTTCTGTGCTACTGAGTTGCAGTATCTCGCAGTCCTGCAGAAACAGGAGGTCCACTTTGGCGTTGACCAGGTAAGCCAACGTGGAAACACCTAGTGATTTAACACTATGCACATTAATACTGGCAATTTTAAAACACATTTTGAGAGTTTATTAAGTTACGCATGTGGGCGAATTATTGGACCCTCTTAGCACTGAGTTAGTCATCCTGTTCCTCCCTCAGGGAATGGCCCTAATTTGGTGTCATCAGGGCGAGAATGTGGCCAGGAATATAGAGTTCAGAAACTGACAGAGGGACTGTTGTGCTCTGCTCCTGATTCGGAGTGTGGCTGTTCTCACTTGCCCAGAGCTATAATGTGGTGGGTACTCTTTGGTTCCCAATGGCTGGAGGTTGGGCTTCACCAGACCCTCGGGACATCCAGTGTTTCTAGGTAATGGGCTGGTCCTCTCTTTCTCCCATGTGGTTCTGTGCCTGTATTTGTTGGTGGCCATCCCTCCACAAATCTTCATCATCAGAGAAGCTGCTGGTGTGTCCTTCATACAACTGCCTCTTTCCGTTTAGCTCTGCGTCTGTGGGGACCCAATGTATTTTCCTTTTCCAGTTGTTTCTCACCGGTATCTACTCCTCCATCTCCTTTGTTTCATCCTTTTCCATTGACTCCATCTCTTCAGGTAGAGGTTGGGTTGGTTGCTGTGCCTTCGTGCTGGCTACCTGTTCCTCCTCTCCAGTCTGTCCCTCCTTCTGGGTGCCCCTCATATTAGGTTTCTTGCTGGAGGGTGGCACCTTACTGTCCTTTCAGGTACTATGGCTCATGTTGCCCCTTCCAGCCATCTGAGCATACGTCTAGCATCTATTTTCAGGGTCACCTTGACCTGCTGCTTGCTGGCCAGATTCCGAAGGGGCCTACTACATTAGTGCTGCCGTCAAAAGACATGAGGGGCAAATTTTTTACAAAGAGGGTGGTTCATGTGTGGAATGAACTTCCAGAGGAAATGGTGGATGTGCGTACAATTACAATGTTTAGAAGATATTTGGATAAGTACATGAATAGGAAAGTTGGGAGTTTAGTTAGGGATATTGGTCTGCCTGGACAGGTTGGACCAAATGGTCTGTCTCCGTGCTGTATGATGATGTGGCTTTCTTTTTTCTTCTCTTGAATAGTAAATTTTTGTTCTGTTGTTAAAGCCCATGCGCAGCCTTGTATAAATATATTTCAGTGACAAACCACCCTCTAAACCAACCGCAAAAATAAAACATGATCTCTTGAGCCAAGTTTCATTCTGGATCTGACCTGTCCACTTCCACCAGCAGCTAGGATCATAATACTGATAATTACAAGTGTAAGTATCTTTCTGAGCAGTATTTTTTTTAATGACATGGTAAGTGCTAATGACTGTCAATAAACTATTCTGGGCCTGAAAATTACAATTATGGAATCACTTTCCATCAGATTGTGAAGTGTTTTGGGAGAAAAATTTTAAAATTGTCTTCTGTTTTCGTTTCATCCCTGTCTCTTGATGCAATCTTCCTTTCTTTCAGTACCTGATCTTTGTTCTTTTACTTATAAATTCTGTGTCTGATACTACCTTTCTCACTAACATCTGAAGGAGGAGTAAGACTCCGAAAGCTTGTGTTTTCAAACAAACCTGTTGGACTATGACCTGGTGTCATGTGATTTCTGACCTTGTCCAATCCATTCTAACACCAGCACCTCCACATCATGGATACATGATTTGACATTGACTTTCATCAATTCCCTTGAATTAACCTTTTTTCTAATTTTTAATTCCATAAATCTCATTGGTTAAAGACATACCTTTTTGGAAATCACGTGCTGGATCTCTCTTTTAGAGTCAGGACTGTGATATCAGTACCATCTGTGGGACCCAGCCCTGTTCTGAAGGGGAAGCCCTCACGAATGTAGTTTCTGTGATACCTGTCCTAACTGCTTGCAGGGCATGTATGAAAATCAATTAGGGATGGCAGGTAGTAAAGAAAGTAAAATGCTGAGATACAGATCTCATTTGAAGGAATAATGTATTAAAATCCTATGGCAAGGTGAAACTGAGCACAAAAGGCAGAGATCTAACACTTGTGTCAAGGAGTCACTGAAATTCATTGGGGATTCCACTCATGGTGAAGGTACAGTGGTGAGAGATGTGGGAATTTTATTCCCACTGAGTGGCAGGACAGAGTCACCCACCAAGATCATGTAGGCTTGGGTGGATGTATCAGAGCAAATGGGCAGCTACAGTGTTGTGAGAAGGACCTTGGTGGGGTACTATATATCAAACTTAAAAGAACAAGTTGCTTGGAGGGAATGTTTGGGACCTTGGATTGTTGGAAGGAGGGAGTTAAAAGGAAAGATGCTGCTTAACATTGACTTGCACAACGGACAGGGAAGTCATATTAAGTATTGTTGCATTGTGGACCAAAATATCACAGAAGAAATGCTCCCTTCAGAATGTCTTACTCAACAAGCCTGGCAAAGCTGTCGGATGAATCATGACTGGCCGCTGACAGATATCCACCAAAAGGCACATGATAAGATTCTGCATCAAAGATTATTTCAGAAAGTAAAATTTGACGTTTTAAGGAGTAACATATTAACATGGAAAGAAGATTGGTCAGCTAACAGTAAACCATATGCATAAATGGATCATTTTCCGTATGACAAAATGTAATGAGTGGTGTGCTACAAAGATCAGTGCTGGGATCTCAATATTTTACAATTTATAAAATTACTTGGATGAAGGGACAGAAGGTGTAGTTGTTCAATTTGCTGATGGCGCCAGGATAGCTAGGAGAGTAAGTTGTGAAGAGGATATAAAGAGTCTAAAAATTGATATTGATAGGTTAGGTGAGTAGGAAAAGATCTAGCAAATACGAGAAAATGTGAAACTATCCATTTTGACAAGAAAAATAAAAAAAACAGTGAATGTAAATAGTGAGAGATTGCAGCGGTTTGAGGTGCAAAGGAACCTGGGTAACCTAATATTTAAATTGCAAAAAGTTAGTACAGCAAATAATTAGGAAAGCTAATTGAATGTTATAATTTGTTTTGATGGGAACTGAACACAAAAGCCGTATGTTATGCTTCAGTTATACAAGCCATTGGTAAGACCATATCTGGAGTACCATGTACAGTGTTGATTAAGACATGATTAAATGGAACATTGGAACAATTAAAGTTTACTACACAAGTTGCTTTAGAAGGAAAAATTGGACAGGTTGTGTTCAGACGACTAGGAGGAGACTTGTTGAAATATGCAAGACCCTGAGGCGTCTTGACATGATGGATGTAGAAATGATGGTTCCTCTTGTAGGAGAATCATGAAATAAAGGTCACTATTTGAAATAAAAAAGTAATTGTTTTAAG